CATCAACCCTTTACATACTTCACAATAGGCAAAGACTCACAAATTCAGTTCGTTTTAACTTGAAAAAATTGTAATTCTTAACTATTAGGCTTAACTGACAACCACTGATTCATTACATTATACGTGAGCTAAGAATGCTAGAACTCGTGCTTTTTCAATGCCACATGGAGATGACGTAATCTTTAGTAACACGGCTTAAGAGAGTCAGTACCAAAGCACTGTGTACTTTTCACTTAAAAGTAACGTACTGACCTCTTGCTCACAAACGTAAAATATATTCACTAAAAAATGCGAATTTCATTTCAATCATTGAGAGATTATGTTCCGTATTCATATATGTAGCGAAATCATCCCTACCACGATCAGTATTAGTATTTTTTCCTAGTTTGATATTTTCTATTTGAATATCATTGCTATTTCTTTTGCACACAAACTTTATTCAAATTTTAGTAATTGATATTAATTTGTCTTTGGAAAATTTGATCAGTTTCGTAACTTTTGTGGCATCAGTCTAGATACTCGTCTTCCAAACTTTTATCAGTGTACTACAGGTACTCTTGGTAGTAGCTTTAAAAGGAAATTATAGCCATCAAAGTTTAAGCATATTAAATTGCGGAAATGGTGTTGTGTTAGCAGAATTAGCGAAAATCAGAGCAGTCGCTTAAATTACAAATAAGTAAGTCCTAAAATCGTAACTTGTGACTTCCATAATTAACTGGCTAATTGTGATAAATTTTTGAGATTTCTGTGACGTGGTAATTGTGAGGTAGAAATACAAGTCATACAAATGACTCAAGTAGAACTCAAAAAATCATGTTTCTTACTGCAATCACTTTCTACTTTTAGCGAGTAATATCAATGTTGACGCCGTCATTGCAATGGTAGACAACATAGAAAATCAATTTAGCAATTTTTCGACTTAGCATAACAATAAATAGAATCTTCTAAAGAAAGATTTGACAGTGCGATAATACTCTCTCTGTTATGCAAAGTAGACACTTATTTGTTTTGACTATTTATATGAGAAGACACGTTATTAGATATAAGAACAAAGATTTATTATTACGTTGTATAACTTTATTTTAATTTGAAGTACACCTGCGATTAAAATATTTTTGCTGAAGAGGAAGTGAAGTTTGTTTTATTGTATGAAGCCAAGTAAAACCTATACTTTCTATATTGAATGACGCCAATTTAACTAAACAAGAAAAACATTTCTGCCTAATAGAAATAATTCAAAATCTTTTCGTTGCTCTATTGTAACAGTATTAATCATACCATTTAAACTATAAAGAAATTTTGTCTCATAGTACATGTATGATTATAAGGACAAAGTGTTCTTGATAGCACAAGTCAAAAACCCGAAAGATAATACTGTGAAGGTTTGTATATCAGATCATGGCACTTTTACAGCAATGCAAACGAAGTCGAGTCTGTGATGTGTACATAATGCGCACAAGAATGTCAACGAACTTCATATATAGACGTTTATGCTTGTATACTTATAAAGAATCCACGCTGTTTACCATCAATCACGAATCAATGCCATACAAAACATGTTTTATCAAATTTTTAACGAGGCTGTTTATACTGTTTTGGCAGTTATCAACTTGGCATCATAGAGATATCGAAGGTTTTATAGACCATCAATTGAAGTAGTTACGCTTGCAGAATAGCTTATAAGCAATGAAAAAATTAATTTGAGTTAATAAATAACAAAGAACTTAAGATATTTACAAAATTATCAATTACTTATCAGTCGAAGATGCAAAATTTTCATTTCATAGCAGTTGTTTCTAGCAGAATTTAAAACTAATCATTCCACACTATTAAATGAATTTCTACAATATACCGTTCAACTTCCTAAACAATTCCAAACCTGAAAGCTATATTGGGTTATAAATCAGTAGCATTACAAAAAATACAACTATTACGTCAACCAAAATAAAGTGAAGAGACTGAAATAATATGCTGCGTACATACTTCTCCTCTAGACCAGGGGTCTCCAAACTACGGCCCGTTGGGCCTCTCAATTCGGCCCGCAGAGACACTTAAAAGAAAAAGGAAAGTTGATGATGAATGTCGGCGATTTCAAGAAGAATGGATTGTAAAATACTTCATCATCGAATCTGCGAATAAAGCATTGTGTGTCATCTGTCATGAGAGTGTTGCAGTATTGAAGGAGTACAATTTGCGCAGCCATTACCAAAGCAAACACCAGGGAACCTTCTCACGGTTTGAAGGAAATATACGTGAAGAGAAATTTGAAAATTTAAAGCAGTCCATTAATTCTCAAAGATCAATTTTCACAAAAGCATCAAAACAAAATGAGTTGATAACGAGGGCTAGTTTTAAAGTGGCTTATATTCTCGCTAAAAATGGCAACCCTTTTACAGATGGTGAGATAGTAAAAAACTGTTTGCTAGAGATTGTGGATGAACTTTGTCCGGAAAAATCTAATGTTATTAAAACTATAACATTGGGTGCCAATACTGTTGCCCGGCGAATTGGAGACATGAGCACAAACCTAATGGAGCAAATTGCCAGCCATGCGAAGAATTTTGTTCATTTTCTATGGGAATGGATGAGTCAACAGACATGTGTGGCACCTCCCAGTTGCTAATTTTCATTAGAGGTGTGGATGCCAATTTAAATATCACTCAAGTGTTGGCTTCACTGAACAGTATGTACAACACAGCGACTGGAGAAGACTTGATGAGAGAAATACAGAAAACATTTGAACAATATAGTTTAGATTGGAATGGACTGAAATGCTTAACTATTGATGTGGGAAGAAATATGTGTGGTGTGAAGAAAGGATTGGTGGGAAAAATCAAACAATTTTGTGCTGAAAAAGATATTTCAGAACCAATGTTTCTACATTGCATATTACAGCAACAAGCTCTTTGTGCTAAGTATGTGGACATTAGCTGTGTGTTGGACCCTGTAACAAAAATGGTGAATTTGATAAGATCACATGGGCTGAATCACAGACAGTTCAGGAAAATGTTAAGAGAGACTGAGACAGAATCTGTTGTCATGCCATATTACACTGCAGTAAGATGGCTAAATTGCGGAAAAGTGCTGTCGAGGGTTTTTGAGCTAAGACAGGAAATTGCTGAAGTTCTTGCAGGAAAAGGGAAGCATCAAGCATTACTGTCTGATAAACTGTGGATATGTAAGTTGGCTTTTGCTGCAGATATCAATGGCCATATCAATAGTTTAAATCTGAAGCTACAGGGAGAAGAAAACCTCATTAGTGATTTTTTACACATCTAAAGGCCTTCAGGCACAAACTAGACCTATTCCTGAAACAAATTCAGGTTATGAATTTCACACATTTTAAAAACTGTACAGAAGCTATGGTAGAAGCTACTACAGATTTTCCACTTTCATTTGCACGTGGGATTATTGAAGAGCTTCAACATCAATTCCAGGAACGATTTGCTGATTTGCATGCAAAAGCAGATGAGTTGAGACTCTTTCAAAATCCATTTGAAGTGGATCCAGCTGCATGTCTAGACAGTTTACAATTAGAGGTGATTGAACTACAAGCAAATGACTTGCTGAGGGATAAATTTAAAGAAGGGCTTAAATTTAAGGGAATAAAATTTGAGGCATTTTGCTCCAGGACTGCTATCTATGTTTGGCACTACATACCTGTGTGAAAAAACTTTTTCTAGAATGAAGTATGTGAAAAACAGTTATAGAACAAACATGTCTGATGAAAATCTGAGGGCTCTTCTAATGCTTGGGACCTCAAACCTAAAGCCAAACTTTTTCACAATTTTGTCATCAAAAAGCCAATTTCCCCACTCACATTGAGAAAACTGAACAGACTAATTGTGATTTTGTCATGATATTACTCTTGGTTGAAATTCAACCTTTAAATTTTGAATAAATATTTTCTTAACCAATGAAGCTTGTGTTATGTACTTCGTTTTATTAAACTATTCGCTCTTTAGCCAGTGGTATACGGTTCGTCGGCCCTCAACATGCTGGATGAAAGTTGATGTGGCCCTCTGGCTGTAAAGTTTGGAGACCCCTGCTCTAGACTTTAATGAGTGAACTCTATTAATGACAGCTCAACACATTATAGTTACACCGAAACCTAAACCAATCATTTCGCCAATTATCAAAAAACACGCGTGATCTGCACGATGTCCTAAACCAATCACAATTGTCTTTTTTAAGTGTCACGCGTGCATGTAACTCACACGCATTGCAAAGTAAAAATAAACTTACTGTCAATAGATTAAGAACGTTCAGTAGCAATGATTAAAATTTACTTTAGTGTTGTTCCTTTAATTCTGTGTGAGAAGAACTGAGTTATATGTGGTTGAGTGGTGCTAATTATTATTCCGTAATGCACCTGATATTTAAAGTGCATTATCTAGATCATATAAAGGAGAGTGTCATTTACATAAAAAATAAAGTCTTTGATTAAAGATCGTGCATTTAACAACTTTCATGGTCAAACACATGTCCAGCTAAAATACTTTATACATTTGTTAAGAGCCAATACTTAGCAACCTGTTGGGGCTTTTGATTTGAGAATCGCTGGTGCTACAGAAAATAGTAAAAATGCAAGATATTTATCCGAAATAAAAATGACGCTATAACTTGCATGGAACTTCTTTTCAAAGTAATCACTGATACAATTAAAACAAAACAAATTAAAATAATTTTACAATTTCTTTTTCTCTTGTTTTTGTGCACTCGTTAACCGTTGTAGATGTGAGTAAGTATGAGTCGAAGAAATTTTTGGTTTAACAAACATCCTATAGAGGATTAAAGAGGATTTTATTCTCATTTTATGCTAAGTATTCATAATCCATTCATATTCAACTGCAAATTTTAAGCAAACAATTGTACATTACCATCATAATCATGAATTTGTTTAGAGATTACGTGGCTACTCTAATCAATTTCTCCATTATCCAAAAACAATGTTTGCTAAAACGGAAATGAAGTCGTTTTATTGCAAATACTTAAAACAGAGGACCAAAATTAGCTCTTCATTACAAGCAAAACAATTAATTGATGAGCAATTCAAGAAGTAAACTGAGGTTCGAAAATGATAAAAGTAAAGATGAATCTTTTAATGGTATCAATGTTGTTGCTATCAAATACAGTCAGTGCATCGTTTAAGAAAAAGAACTCAAAGGTTTGGAAGCATTAACTTGGTGAAATGGTTTAAGTTAAAATTTCGGTTCAACAATCAAGTGCATATTTTAACGCATAGTCGTTTTTTAAGGTCGCGAGAAAATTTGTTCGTGTAGTTTATTTATACTTCTTGAGTATTAAATTATAATTTGCAAACTCTTTTGTACAAGCGCCCATCAAATAGATTCTTGTGAATTAAGGCGGAGAAAGGGCTTGTTCAACTCGGAACATCTCAAAGAAATTTACAAAAACAAGATCATATTATCCGTTGAGAAATACGTTAGGATCGGAGAGACTTCAAAGCAATAGAAAGAGGCTGTTATTATTCCTTCAACCATATTCAATTTGAGCCACAATTCAATATTTATAGAACCTTCACTGTTTAGGTAAAAACATTTTTCTCTACCGTTTTCAAGGCTCAATGCTCAGCAAGCTGTGGAATTCCCGGGGTTCCAGGAGTTCCCGGTGTACCTGGAGCTGCCGGACGAGACGGTTTAAAAGGAGACGTAGGATCTAAAGGAGAAAAAGGTGAACGAGGTAATCCTGGGTCGCCATTGAAAAATGACATTAGTTTTTCAAGCTGGAAACAATGTGCTTGGAAGAGAGGCGATGGTAAAGATCATGGATTAATTCAGGTGCAACATGTATATGAAATATTTCTTTTGTTATGAATTATTACATATCGTTTTAGCAAAGATTTAATTTCATTTTAGAATTGTGTATTCACAAAACGTTTGACAACACTTCTTCAAGTGTTTTATGGAGGAAACTTGCGAATTTCAGGGTGCAATGATTGTTGCAAACGTTGGTATTTTACTTTCAATGGAGTTGAATGTAAAACCCTCTTCCTATTGATGGAGTTTTTACATGGCCAATGGAAAGTCACAAAATATCCATCGACATCGTCACATCGAAGGATATTGTAACAAAATTCATAAAGGAAAAGTGCAGGTTGGATTCTGGGTCGGCAATTGTGCTAGTTATGGTAACGCAGATGCACACACTGGATGGAATTCAGTTTCTCGTATTGTTATTAAAGAGGTTCCTCCACCACAAGATTAATTCCTTTTGTATGTTCTCTTCTAGCAAATCAGTATTAAAGGACTCCCGTTCTAGTTTTCTTTCGTTTTTTTACTGTATTGTACATCTAGTATGCAACATTTATTTTACAATCATATACATATATTGCAATCTATAATCGCTAAACTACCAAAAAAGGGGACTTCCTTAGAGAGAAAAATAGGAATAGTTGATATGTTTTGGTATTTTCTGTCATCCATTTACAAAATGTTGTTTCTTTACTATGACTTTCATACCATATATGTTGACTCACTTTGTAAGTCATTTCAAAGTATTCACAATAAGCTTAGTACTTAGGTCAACCATATGAGCATAAGTCGAAAATTGATATTGAGTTTGTCAAACTAGGCGTTTCAGCCAATTGAATTCCAACGCGACTTTACATCAATATTGCATCCTATATTTTTTCTCAGTTCTCCGAAGAAACACTTATTTAAGAATAAACTACTAATTTGCCAAATACACTTGGAAGTTTTTTAGAAGAATCCCATTCTTTTTCGCGTTGCTTCATTATTTTACGTATATAGTTGAAGAAACTTCAAAAACCAACCAGTATTAAAAAAATGACAAATCTTTAAGCTGCAGTATACACGTATCAGTATCACTAAGACAATGTACACTCTGAACTTGAGTGGACGTTGTTGAATCCTGTGTTAGAGCATAGTATGGGGTGATTCTTGAATTGAATGGAAAGAATTGCTCGAGTGACATGTTGAACAAACAATAGTAGCTACGCATTATTACCACAAATAAGGTAAGACTTTACATAAAAAAGCATGGCTACATACATAAACAGTCATTATGAGCACTACTCTTTCTATAGTTTGCTGTTTTGTATATTTGTTACTCCGTGAACTTGAATTCATAATCTCAGAGTCTGAAACTCAGAAGTAGTGCACTAATACGGCATTTATGAACTAGTGGAGTATGAGTTTTTGTGTTTTATAGTTTAATGCCACTAGCTTATAGTTTAGTGACAGGATTATATAATTGAATGAAGGGTGTGGTCGCTCTTTTTCTCCTTTCGAGTATGACATCATCATTTAAACGAAATGACACCTTGATATTTGTATGATCACTTTTTTCTCAAAAAATCAAACCAATGGCTCAAAGTACAAATAAGAAAGAAGCCTTAAAACTTTACTAGTGAAATTTGTAAATGGCCATTTGTGATAGTTAATTAAGTACAGTTTTGGGCTAATTAAGTTAAGTAAAGTTAAAGCAATTATGAGGTAAAGGCTCAAGTCATATAAATGACTCAAGCACAACATGAAAAAGTTTTTTTACAAACAAGCCAATCGATTCTGGACAGTAATAATAATATTAACGTCATTGATTACTGTGGTGAACAACATGGACAATTCGAATTCAGTATTTTAAATATTTGTAAATGTTAACGCACTGTCACAGTATAGGAATATACAGTAGGGCCACTTAGCTGTGCAACTGGCTGTTGTATATTTAATTAGTTTATTAGCTGCCATTTGCCCTATCGTCAATCCTATTGGTCACCAAATGCAATTTAGCGGCTGCCAATAATGCAATCACATGCGTAATAAGATATGAGTGGCACGAAAAAATTCAATGGAGTGGTCCTATTTAATGTTCTTTATACTGTGGCAATGTAATCAAAGATGTTCGATACAGGGATGTTCGATACAGACTTTAATAGAATCTCTGTAGGTTTATAAAGAAGGAAATGAACAACACTCCGCTTATGGTGCTCTTCTAAGTAGTCACTGCCAGATCGTGGCAGCAATGGTTTGCAACTTTCCAGAACTTTGTGCATGGCTGCAATACTCGACGAAAAAGTGAACAAATTAAACGTTTTAATAAATTCTGTTTCAGCGGACGTTTATATCACCTCTTCTGTGAGACGAAGACCTATGAACAAGTTATCAAACTGTTAAAAAATCTTGATAATAAAACTCCTATAATGAAATATTTTGGCGACATAAGTTGGCTACTCGAAAACAACAATCGGGCGAGAGTTTAGACGCGTTTTTGCAAAGATTATAATTTTTGTGATAGCGCGTCAAATCAATATCGTTACAAAGATGTGCGAGATGCGTTTACAGCAGGGATATTTTCAACTAATATTCACCAACGCCTTCTAGAGAATAAAACACAACATCTTCTGACAGCTTTGATCTAGCCCGAGCTTTAGCCACGACTCAGAGAACCGAGGTAACATACGCAGATAGAACTCGCAATCTTGGATTGCAACCAACCTCCACGGAATTATCAAGCAATGTTGCTCACCCATAACGGCTGGTGCCCACAATAGTATTAATAACAATAGAAACTACAGATATAATTTTCCCAAGAATAATTATAACAATCATTGACAGTTCCTTGTTGGGCTTAAGACCATCATTAAGTTCTGGTTGGTATAAGATTTATGATAAAGAATGGTTCTATTAGTAAAAGTCAGTTTCTGTTTAAGTTTGTGTTTGAGTAAAGTATTTTATAGTTGTTAAATATAAGATTTGTAATGTTTAAATTACATTTGTCGAAAAATGTTTTGTGAACGGTTCTGTTGTTGTTTTCAGAAGTTATGTCTCGTACTTTTTGGCATTGTAAAAAGTGTTATGAAATTTCGTTTGGCATGTTCGGGAAGTAAAATTTTAAGGCATTTCTCAGCTTTACTAATGTAGGATTTGTTAAAGCCAGGCTAAGTAACTTGATAAAAGAAACATTAAAACACATTGAAACGAGAGAGGGGGAGATTTTGTCCATAATGGAAGTGAATAAACGACCTTTTTAGTATCAAAAATAATGATGATTTTTATAATAGTGTCAATGAAAAAATAATGAATACTGTGAAAGTAATGAATAATTTCTCACAAACTCCAACCACCGACCAAAATCAACCTAAAATATTCATAAAATTATCATCAAGGCTCACAAGACTCAAAAATTACTATAAATGTCTCAGAAAACGTTGCAAATGTCTCGTCAAACTGGCGTAATTTATCATTATTGAGTTAAGCATGGATCTTTTTCGGAGTATGTTTCTCTATACTTCATAAAATTGTCGACAGGTTAAATGGATTTTGACACCACATGCTTTGCCAACTTTTTTGTGTCTCATTCTAATATAAAATTCGTTTTTATTATATACGACAAGTTTTTTTAAAATAGACATGTTTCGACATCTCATAATGCCATCTTCAATATAAGTGAAATAATAAATAATACAAGGTTTCTATAAATATAATACGATACATGAATTACAACAATAATATGGAAATAAGATAAATTAATGGGGAGCGTCCGAGCGTATGACAAACTAAATTTTAAACAAAAGAATGTAGCATAATGCTATAACCAACAACTGCAAACAATAACGACCTTATCTAACAACATTTGAGAAATTAACCTTCCACTCTCTTCCTTGGAAACGGGACAATTCTATTCAAAAGCAGAGAGCCTTATATGGTACAAGTCCTGGGCTTGTGACTGGTATAGCAGAGTTAAGAGGTGAAAGGTTTATCATAGATTAATCAACTGAATATTCCTGCTCATTTTTTTTTGGAAGCATTCTGAGCAGTTCATATGGACAAAGCTCGAATTCCATATTAAATAAACAGTAACATAATCCGGTGTTAATGTTAAGATAAGGTCGTTATTGTTTGTAGTTGTTGGTTATAGCATTATGCTATCATTCTTTTTTTTAATATGATATTCCAACTATTTAACCTTGTGATTAAACTAAATATTGTATTGAATTTAAAAACTTGAATATTGAGGTCAGGGTTAGTTTTGTTAATGTGGAGTGCTTTTTTGATTTTAAGGGAGAATAAGGTGTCGGCAGTGTCGATGTTTTTACTATCGAAACTGAGGCCATGAAGTTTTATAATTACATTAACACACAGCACGCAAACATTGGATTTTCATTTGAAACTGAACAACAAGATCAACTGCCATTTCTTGCCATTTTACTAACAAAATCCCATGACAGCTGTACAACATCCACATATCACAAACCATCGTACACAGGACTTCTGATGAACTATTTTAGTTTCACACCACTTTCAAACAAAACAGGACTTATACGCACACTAATCGACAGAGCATACAAATTTAACAATACGAACAATTTCTTTCAACAAGACATAAAAAACATCACATCCACTCTTTTACGAAACTCTTTCCCACTACACTTTATTAACAGAACCGTAAAACAATATCTCGACAACAAACATAGCAACAACCTCAAACCAGACACCAAAACTCCTCACACGACGATCACACCAACACAAATGAAAATTCCAATATAAAAACTCTATACTTCAAACTACCACCATACATCGGCAGAAACCAGCTGCATCAAATTTTTAAAATACTTTTCTTTTCTCTAGAATTCAAGTACAGTCTCTGAGCAAAATGGCCACACAAACATGTAAATGGTTCAGATTTTTTACATTTTAGTATAAATTATTCTTATTTTTGAGCAAACGATCGCAGTATATAGAACCTATTGCTATAAATATTAAAGAAACAAAAATTTGTTAATGTGTACGGGCCATGGACAGGCTTATGAAAACCGAGAAGACCTTTGAAATTAAGACTATGTTTCAAAAAGCAAAAGAGCTACTGAACTTTAAAAAATGATAATTTTCCTTGTAGCTCTAATAATTAATTTATCATCATGCATCAATATGATTCTGAGATAAAACGGAAACTTAATTATTAACTGTAAAAACAAAAAGGTCTGACAGACAAGTTTTTTGAGGATGTACTTTGCGCATCCATTGATGGATGCATTTATGCAAATGCTATATATTTATCATACTATAAATGATAACTGACAGTTCTTTGGACCTGTCCTTTTTCAAAATTGACAAAGTCACAGTTTTAGCTCGTTATTAAATAAAGTAGTATAAAGCAAAAGCAGTTTGAAGCTTTAAAATAAAGTATTTACTTCCTTGTTAAATAGAGCATTAAACAATAAATATTGTCGTTTTTATTTATCTTTGTTTGGAAGAAGATCGTAAAAATTTTTTCATGTCTAAACGCTATGTCAACTTAAGTAAAACAAACTTCAGTTTGAAATGTTAACAAAATCTGGGAAAATGCATGAAAAACGATTACATGGTGTAATTTTCGTCCTAGTGCTGAGTTCAACACTTGGCTGAAATTTCAACCCGGTTCGCTGACACAGGGTTAAAATTTCAGCAGTGCATGGAGTTGAACTCAGCACGAGGTTGAAAATTTGCCATACAATCGTGTGTTTCATATAAAAAATATATCGTATAAAGACTGGGATGAAATTTCAATTCACTTGACGGGACTCGGTTCAGCTCAGGGTTGAAAAATTGACCTTCCTGTAGCTCTATTAAGCAGTCTAATAATCAATGACAAACCAATAAGAATCCAGAATAAAACTGAAGCACGGGTCTTATTACGAATATAAACTAAAAATAGGAGGCTAGTGCTCATATTTTACCATTACCTTGTGATGGTTACAGGAGCTTAATTATCTAAACAATAAATATAAAGAGTTAAATAATGGATTGTTTTCATCTCTTGGTTTTATTATTGGCATGGCAGATTTCAAGCATTCATATGTCTAAAGTGAACAAGGCAAGATTTATTGGATGTATTGTTTAAAAAACTATAATGAAAACAAAGCAGTTTTGATTTAGTAGCTGCGTCTTATTTGTAGGAATTGTTTTTTTTTGTAATCATGTTCAAGTAACAAAGATAAATTAACTTTTTACATAAATAAATGTTTTTAGTTGTCAAATACCTTTACTAAAGTAAGACGTTCATAGTAGAAATTCCCACGTAAAAACTCTTTTTTTAAACCTCTGTTCAGACATATTTTTACATGTCTCGACATGTTTTGGCGGTTTATTTGTCATGTTTTATCGGATCAATGATTAATTGCGTCAAACCAAGAACGTAGACACGACACCAGAGATTTGCAGCGTAATCAAGTTTTAAAAACTTCATCAACTTGCTCTTTATTATGTTATGATAAAATTAGTTAAATGAAGATATGATCTTCGCACTTTGCTGGACAATTTAATTGTCTCAGGACAGGTGACTCAACAGGATTCGAACCCATGACCTCTGCGGTGCCGGTGCAGTGCTCTGACCACTGAGCTATGAAGTCGCAACAGTGGTGAGCAGGTCAATATTGTTGGGCTCATGTTCTCTCGTGAAATGAATGTCATGTGAATGTTGAGTCACCTGATTTTTCAGGTCCAGAGACAATTGCAAAGTGCGAAGATCATATCTTCATTTAATTTCAAACAGCGCACTGCATAAAACATTCACATGACATTCATTTCACGAGAGAACATGAGCCCAACAATATTGACCTGCTCACCACTGTTGCGACTTCATAGCTCAGTGGTCAGAGCACTGCACCGGCACCGCAGAGGTCATGGGTTCGAATCCCGTTGAGTCACCTGATTTTTTCAGGTCCTGAGACAATTGCTTAAATTGTCCAGCAAAGTGAAGATCATATCTTCATTTAATTTCAAACACCGCACTGCATAAAACATTCAGATAAAATTAGTATTAATAAAAAAGTCCAAACATGCTAAATATTTGGTTTAATTTTGAGAACAAGTTTGCTATTTACCATGGTGTCCTAAAAAAACGTAAAAACAAGATGACATGACAAAGAATATAAGAATACATGCAAATTTCTGAGCAAAAATCTTCACTACAACTTATAATGTAGCATCTATTTCCCCATATTTATCTATGATTTAGTGTGTATAGTTCAAGTTACCATATGTAAACTTAATTTAAATATAATAAATAATTTATTTCCTGTTATTAAGGACAATTGTTCAACCAGCTGCTGTGGAACAACAGGTATCCCAGGTGTACCCGGTGTCCCCGGTGTACCTGGTGCTCCAGGAAGAGACGGGGTAAAAGGAGATGCTGGATCACCAGGAGAGAAGGGAAATCCTGGAAAAAGTAATTTAAAATTTACTAAAGGTGAGAAGGGAGATCCAGGAAGTACCGGGTTACAAGGTATAAAAGGTGAAAAAGGAGAATCTGACGCTCATGCAAACGATGAAATATTTTTGTCTACATGGAAGCAATGTGCTTGGCGGAGAGAGGACGGGAAAGATCATGGATTGATACAGGTATGTTGAGAAAACAAAATAAAATTATTTCTTCATACTTAATTTTTTTTCTTACATAAAGAACAAGGGAAATGTTTATTTTATTATTTGGATGAAACTTGAATAATTAATATTTTTGTCTTAAATTTATTTGAAAAGTTTGGCTTCAGTTAATGGGAAATTATCTACCTGAATTTAATTTTAGAACTGTTTATTCACGAAAAAGTTTGACAACACCTCCCTTCAAGTGTTTTATGGAGGAACCTTGCGAATTCATGGGTGCAATAATTGTTGCAAACGTTGGCATTTTACTTTCAATGGAGTTGAATGTAAAAACCCTCTTCCTATTGATGGAGTTTTTTACATGGCCAATGGAAAGTCACAAGATATCCATCGACATCGTCACATTGAAGGATATTGTAACAAAATCCATAAAGGAAAAGTGCAAGTTGGATTCCGGGTCGGCAATTGTGCTGGTTATGGTAACGCAGATGCATTCAGTGGATGGAAATCAGTTTCTCGTATTGTTATTAAAGAGGTTCCTCCTCCACAAGAATAATTCTTTATTCACTTTTCTATTTAACTCTATTTTATGTTAAAGCTTCCGTTTAGTTAAAAATCCATGTGTATTTTATGACAATAATTCAGTTTTGTAAATTTATCGAGTTGGAAATAGTCCAACAAAAAAGCGTTTGAAAGTAACAAGTGTGGAGTATCATCAAGTATTTCATAAAAAATTGCCTCTTCGTTGCAAAAAGAAGCATGCTAATAACTATATCACAACAATGATCCCAGACATAAGTTAAGAGCGCGCTGTATCATCAAACAAGGTGAGATACTTTTCATTTTCGCAACCTCGACTGACCAGCTCTTTTTTACAAATTATAATTTTCACTCACAATTTACGTTCCAGAATGCACTTGAAGAGCCAGTTGAGCAAGAATTGTTGTATGAGAGTGAAACAGAGGAGATCCAGGCATCACAAGAAAGCACTAAAGTATCGCCAATCAACAACTTGGAACAACAAGAAAGGTCAGTGATTCATTGCAAAACGAGCTGAAATTGTGATTGTATCTTGATGCACTATGTTTTTAAATAATATAGCACCAACAATGATACTTGCAAACAGTTGACATACAATTCATTGTTTCTGACTCCAAGGCAACGAATAAATGCCTTTATAGAAAGACAGTGTCTTGGGGATACTGTGCAGGAATTTGGTCCTGTGAATGTATCAACAGTAGATCTTTGGTCACTTGTCAGTCCAAAAGATATAACTGAAAAAGAATTAAAAATTATTGAAAAAGAAGTTACCACATTCAAACCTGGTTGGCTGACCGACTCTGTAAGAGAAAAAAGCGTCTAATATAGTCTTCTTATTTATCATTAAAAGTCATTGTTTATAACCATGAGTGCTATGTACACGTAAAACTGGCGAGGAAATCTCTTCAAAATATGCTTTCTTTCGATTTTAGGTAATTGACGCTTTTTTTAGGAGTTTGACTGAAAACTACACTATTGTTCTTGCAGCAGAATCATTTATTTCACAGATTGTTAAAAACAACTCAAGCACAAGACGCACATGGGCTAATAGATCTTTTCACCAAACCAAAATTATCCTTTTTCCAATCAACATCCATGAAATTCAATGGACACTACTGGTAAGTATTTGAGCTAATCAATGAAGGCAATAAAAAAATATAGACATGCATTATATACATACTTAGCCCACATCAGTCCACATATTAACATGCAAAAATTAGTATCTATAGAAACATTAACTAATTTAATTCCTTAATTAACAAAGAGAAAATTTTTAACTAAATGCAACAGTAATTTTGTGTAATATAGGCTATAGATAAGTTCTCAAAAACAAGACTCTCCTTGACCAACTTGGAGGAAGTGCAGACAAAAAGACACCTGATACACAGATGATGTATCGTATAAACAAACAAAGTGGTCATGTTTGTCACTGCTTTAGTAGATGTAAAAACAGGTTGGAACTCAAGCTCATGGCAATGTTCTGAGCTACTCCATTGTAAACAGGAAGATATGTATAACTGTGGAATGTACATACGCTTGGTAAGCTTGAAATAGCCTAACTTTACTTGAATATGTATGTAAATGTTGATCGTCCAGGTTGGTACAGTCCTAAGAAGGACTATTTTTGTTGTTGTTGATTGACGTTTCGACAACCTTAGTCTTTTACTTGAATAGCTATTTTACAAACATGATTATTCAGTAACTGCTCATTTCGCATCAGTTTGCTTGAAGCTCATGGCAATGTTTTGAGCCACTCCATTATAAACAGGAAGATATGTATAACTGTGGAGTGTACATATGCTTGGTAAGCTTGAAATAGCCTAAGTTTACTTGAATAGCTATTTTACAAACATGATTATTCAGTAATGGCTAATTTCGCATCAGTTTGCTTGATGTCTAGCCCTTGGCTTAGACTATCAAAAACCAGCAAACATGGAGACTGAGAGAAAACGGATCCTTTCAACATTACTTGGGTCTTGCTATGATGATACTACACGATAAGGCATAAATAACATTTAGTTGAATATTTTTATATGGAATTCATTATGAATATCTTTAGGGAGCAAATTGTGGCTGTTTGCAAAATATGCAGAGAGGATGACAATGAAGACTGGCTGGGTTGTGATCAATGTGGTCAATTTTTTCATGCAAGTTGCCTTAATGTTGACTTTGCCATAACCTTGTCAACTCATTTTAGATGCAAATAAAATTATCAATATTATTTGACATGCAACAAAATCATTGTTATGGTATCAATTCAAATTGTGCAATTAAAATGAGTGCTTCAAAATATAGTAATGTATGAATGATAAATACTTTAATTTAAGGTAAAATGTGCTTGCCACTAATTGAATCTCACACATGCAATGAATAGTTTGAAACTGTTGATGAAATGTTACAATAAACTACAAGTTTTACAAATATATCTGAAATAAAATGGCTTATTCCTATTTCTTACCTTTGTGATGATTCTTCTGGCCAAAAATTTTCAAAAATTCATGTAAATGCATCTGCATGATTACTCTGATACGAAATTCAAACGCAAAATCAAAGTTGAATGAACTTTTGAGAGATAGTCACTGATCTGATAATAGACTGGATATAGCTTCTACAGGTATCAAACATTGAGCTCTATATATGTTATTATATATAGAACTCAATGGTATCAAAAGTGAAGCCTAATTATATATGCAAAATTCACTTCCGGGTACCACGGCGAGATACAAATTACTATAGAAATGTATGGCGGATAACGTTTACAAACATGGATTTTCGAATATTTAAGACCTTTCGCGACTCCTTACTAACCTCAAGTATTAGTCATGGATAAAACAGGTTATGCGAATCGATTTGACATCAAAATGATTCCTATAGCTGTAAAATATCGACGTTAGTGTTGATTTAAAAGTTGTACATGCGAGAATGTATTTTGTCCCATCGTTGCCAATGCAAGATAGTTCACTGCTCGCTTTCCAATTTCTGAGGCATTTTTGATCTAGTATACGTTTCAGTTCTTTACAAATGAGGTGAGTTACTTTTTTTATTATTCTTTCTTTATGTTGAGAGATTGTTGACATTTTATTTTTGCTGAAACTTCATTTTTTCATGAGCAAAGTACTACTGATGCTTAAACAAGACAAGTCTATTTAGTTTCTTTCGCACTTTATCTTTAGTTTCCATTTTTGTAGTTGTTTTTCTCAAATGGTATACTCGCACTTTGCGCTTAATTATTTAAAGAAGTATGATTTTCGTTGACATTAAAATCCCACAAATGCGTTCTACACACATTAGGACACTTTAGTAAACTGCTTTTGAAACATCAAGGTAATGTAACTACCGTGAAATTGGCACCACATTGGGCACCACATTCAACACAACATTCATCACAACATTCATCACCACATTCAACTAAAATTTATCATTCAAAATGATAAATCAAAAAATCGTCTTTAAAACACGTTTTCCATCAAATACAACAGTAAAAAATAATTCTTAACTGTTTATTACTATTTTACAGTCCTTAAACATCACAAAAATGTATAAAAGTCAAGAAATTGAAGAAAACACTAAGATTTATATTACAGTGTACTTTCCATTTCTCTTAAATAGCCTATAATTTAAAAACTACACGGTAGAATTTTTAAACTTGGCCAATATAGATAATTATATTGTCTAAAATATATCCAAAATCTGGAGGTGGCACAAAAAATAAATGATAGAAAATCATCGACAAAGTCGGATGACACGAATGCGCGTAATATAATCTTATATAATTAACTTCCTATATCCATGTAATTTTTCAAACAAAGGCCTATAAATAAAAAACTACACGGTAGAATTTTTTTAAACTTGGCCAGAATAGAGATAATTATATTGTCTAAAATATATCCAAAATCTGGAGGTGGCACAAAAAAATAAATGATAGAAAATCATCGACAAAGTCGGATGACACGAATGCGCGTAATATAATCTTATATATTTAAGTTAAGAATTCCGGTTCTTTAACAAACAAAGCCTTATAAATAGAAAACTACACGGTAGAATTTTTTTAAACTTGGCCAGAATATAGATAATTATATTGTCTAAAATATATCCAAAATCTGGAGGTGGCACAAAAAAACAAATGATAGAAAATCATCGACAAAGTCGGATGACACGAATGCGCGTAATATAATCTTATATATTTAAGTTAAGAATTCCGGTTCTTTAACAAACAAAGCCTTATAAATAGAAAACTACACGGTAGAATTTTTTTAAACTTGGCCATATTGTAGATATTCTTATTGTCTATGACATATCCAAAATCTGGAGGTGGCACAAAAAAATAAAAGGAATAATATTCCTTGAGAATGTACTCTGGTATTAACCGTGAAGTTGGCACCACATTCGACAAACAGCTCTATAGATAAAAAACTACACGGTAGAATTTTTTAAACTTGGCCAGAATATAGATAATTATATTGTCTAAAATATATCCAAAATCTGGAGTGGCACAAAAATGATAGAAAATCATCGACAAAGTCGGATGACACGAATGCGCGTAATATAATCTTATATATGTTAATTCCGGTTCTTTAACAAACAAAGCCTTATAAAAACTACACGGTAGAATTTTTAAACTTGGCCATATTGTAGATATATTCTTATATGAGGAGGGTAATATTCCTTGAGAATGTACTCTGGTATTAACCGTGAACATTCATTCGACAAACAGCTCTATAGCAAAACTACACGGTAGAATTTTTAAACTTGGCCAGAATAGATAATTATATTGTTCAAATATCCAAAATCTGGAGGTGGCACAAAAAAATGATAGAATGATAGAAAAGTCATCGAATGCGCGTAATATAATCTTATATAATTAATAATTCCATCCATGTAATAAACAAATAATAGGTTTTTTAAACTTAGCCAGAATAGAGATAATTATATTATCTAAAATATATCCAAAATCTGGAGGTGGCACAAAAAAATAAGTTGTAGAAAATCATCGGCAAAGTCGGATGACACGAATACGCGTAATATAATATTTAATAATTAACTTCCTATGTCCAGGTAACTTTGCAAACAAAGGCCTATAAATAAAAAACTACACGGTAGAATTTTTTTAAACTTGGCCAGAATATAGATAATTATATTGTCTAAAATATATCCAAAATCTGGAGGTGGCACAAAAATAAATGATAGAAAATCATCGACAAAGTCGGATGACACGAATGCGCGTATAATCTTATATATTTAAGTTAAGAATTCCGGTTCTTTAACAAACAAAGCCTTATAAATAAAAACTACACGGTAGAATTTTTTAAACTTGGCCATATTGTAGATATTCTTATTGTCTATAACATCCAAAATCTGGAGGTGGCACAAAAATAAAGGAATAATATTCCTTGAGAATGTACTCTGGTATTAACCGTGAAGTTGGCACCACATTCGACAAACAGCTCTATAGCTAAAAACTACACGGTAGAATTTTTGAAACTTGGCCATATTGTAGATATTCTTATTGTCTATGACATATCCAAAGGTGGCACAAAAATAAATGATAGAAAATCATCGACAAAGTCGGATGACACGAATGCGCGTAATATAATCTTATATATTTAAGTTAAGAATTCCGGTTCTTTAACAAACAAAGCCTTATAAATAAAAAACACGGTAGAAATTTTTAAACTTGGCCATATTGTAGATATTCTCATTGTGTCAAATATATCCAAATTCTGACAAAAAATAAATGATAGAAAATCATCGACAAAGTCGGATGACACAGTCGTAATTACGACAAAGTCGTAATTATATAAGATCATATTACGTGCATTCGTGTCATCCGACTTTGTCGATGATTTTCTACAACTTATTTTTTTGTGCCACCTCCAGATTTTGGATATATTTTAGATAATATATTTATCTATATTCTGGCCAAGTTTAAAAAATTTCTACCGTGTAGTTTTTTATTTATAGGCCTTTCTTTGAAAAATTACATGGATATAGGAAGTTAATTATATAAGATTATATTACGCGCATTCGTGTCATCCGACTTTGTCGATGATTTTCTATCATTTATTTTTGTGCCACCTCCAGATTTTGATATATTATAGACAATAAGAATATCTACAATATGGCCAAGTTTAAAAATTTCTACCGTGTAGTTTTTATTTATAAGGCTTTGTTTGTTAAAGAACCGGAATTTTAACTTAAATATATAAGATTATATTACGCGCATTCGTGTCATCCGACTTTATCGATGATTTTCTATCATTTATTTTTTGTGCCACCTCCAGATTTTGGATATATTTTAGACAATATAATTATCTATATTCTGGCCAAGTTTAAAAATTCTACCGTGTAGTTTTTATTTATAAGGCTTTGTTTGTTTTAGAACCAGAATTCTAAACGTAATTATATAAGATCATATTACATGCATTCGTGTCATCCGACTTTGTCGATGATTTTCTATGATTTATTTTTTTGTGCCACCTCCAGATTTTGGATATATTTTAGACAATATAATTATCTATATTCTGGCCAAGTTTAAAAAAATTCTACCGTGTAGTTTTTTATTTATAAGGCTTTGTTTGTTTTAGAACCGGAATTCTAAACGTAATTATATAAGATCATATTACATGCATTCGTGTCATCCGACTTTGTCGATGATTTTCTATCATTTATTTTTTTGTGCCACCTCCAGATTTTGGATATATTTTAGACAATATAATTATCTATATTCTGGCCAAGTTTAAAAAAATTCTACCGTGTAGTTTTTTAGCTATAGAGCTGTTTGTCGAATGTGGTGCCAACTTCACGGTTAATACCAGAGTACATTCTCAAGGAATATTATTCCTTTTATTTTTGTGCCACCTCCAGATTTTGGATATGTTATAGACAATAAGAATATCTACAATATGGCCAAGTTTAAAAATTTCTACCGTGTAGTTTTTATTTATAAGGCTTTGTTTGTTAAAGAACCGGAATTCTTAACTTAAATATATAAGATTATATTACGCGCATTCGTGTCATCCGACTTTGTCGATGATTTTCTATCATTTATTAGATTTTGGATATATTTTAGACAATATAATTATCTATTCTGGCCAAGTTTAAAAATTCTACCGTGTAGTTTTTATTTATAGGCCTTTGTTTGAAAAATTACATGGATATAGGAAGTTAATTATATAAGATTATATTACGCGCATTCGTGTCATCCGACTTTGTCGATGATTTTCTATCATTTATTTTTTGTGCCACCTCCAGATTTTGGATATATTTTAGACAATATAATTATCTATATTCTGGCCAAGTTTAAAAAATTCTACCGTGTAGTTTTTATTTATAGGCCTTTGTTTGAAAAATTACATGGATATAGGAAGTTAATTATATAAGATTATATTACGCGCATTCGTGTCATCCGACTTTGTCGATGATTTTCTATCATTTATTTTTGTGCCACCTCCAGATTTTGGATATATTTTAGACAATATAATTATCTATATTCTGGCCAAGTTTAAAAAATTCTACCGTGTAGTTTTTATTTATAAGGCTTTGTTTGTTTTAGAACCGGAATTCTAAACGT